CGGGGGCCTTGCCCCGCCCCGTGCAGCGGGTGTGGCCGAGCCCCGCGGGGCAGCCAGCGGGCGCTCCCAGCTCTGCGCAGCGAGCCAGTCAGCTGTCTGCGGCGGGGCCTAAGTCGTTCCCCAGGTCCTTCACTAGGAGGAGAGCACCCCACCCACGCCAGCAGCAGCTCAAACCCGGGGTCAGGGCAGCCCTGCGGTCCTGAGGCAGCTGCAGAGTCCACGGGGCTTTGCTCTTGGGGCTGGGACCTGCCTTCTGAGTTGGTTGTGGATCGTGTGAGCGAGGGAGGGAGCCGGTGGTCTGCGGACTCCAGCAGCCTCAGCCCTGGCCAATCCGCTGAAGGGCCTTCCTGGACCTCCTGTGAACGCCCTGCTGAAAGGAGCCCTCAGCCATGGGGGGGGGATAGAACGGATGGCACTCAGCCCTGCCCACCCCCGGGAAAAGGAGCCTGTGGGTGCTAGCTGGGGTTGCAGGGTATCCACCAGAATACTACAGAAAGTGACTTGTACCCGCCGCCCACCTGGACGGGGACACCTGTGTGCCTGCCTTGCCCTCCCTGCCCAGGGCGCTGGGAAACTCGCAGCTGTGGCCGCCCGGTGCCATCTGGTGCCCCAAACAGGCTGGCGTGGGGTCCAACTCCACTCAGCTCAGCCACCCTCTGCTGGTCGCTGCAGTGCCCCTCCCAGAGCAGGACGGCTCAGGCTGCCCTCTGACCTCTGTGGGCCTGCCCGACTTGCAGCCTTCCTGCCTGGGCCTCCAGTCCTCAGGGCAACACGTCTTCACGCCGCCCACCGGGACACACAGGCCCCTCTGCACAGGGTCAAACGGCTGGCTCCGGCTCAAGGGTCTCTCTGGCCCCTTGCTCTGTCTCTGTCCCTTCTAGGCTCCCTGGCCTGCCCGGTTCTGACCACACCCCAGTTTCAGCCTGTGACGGTTTCTGGAGCACTCCCATGGCCTGCCTCCCCCCTGTGCCGTTCAGCACCCTGCACCCCACCCCAAACTACCCAGCCCCAGCCCGGGAGGCCTTGCAGTCCTGTCTCTATCACCCCTGCCTTCCTGCTGGGGTTCAGAACCTCACACTTCCTAGCCACTGCCTAGGGAGCCTCACTCTGGACGGGTGGCTTTGCAGGCCGTGTGGGCCCAGCCCTGACCGGATGTGGGTGTCTGCAGTGGAGCAGGCGAGATAGGAGCACACCCCACAGGAAGAGTGGCCCAGAGACACAGGCGGCAGCAGCCAGGCCATAGCAGACTCTGCGGCTGGGCTGGGCGGGTGGCCGAGGGCGCCAGGGAGGGCCGCCAGGAAGGCCAGGCTGCAGGTTCTCAGACCCACTGCCCCGTGCGGGCTGCGACAGGGACAGGAAACCGGAGGCTGCTGTGCCCTGATGTTGCCAAGGGTCGCCGGGCTCCTCTGCGACCAACCCCCACCTGCAAAGCTGCCACCATGACTATCCTGAGGACGGATCACCCCCAAGTAGGAATCCAAACCGCCCCCGGAGAACTGGCGGGTGTCCCCGCAGGGCACGGGCTGACCACGCCGACTGGCTCTCGCCCGTGCTGCCCCCGTGCTGCCCCCGTCCTGCGGCTCCCCCCGGGCCG